CTTCAAGAGGGATGTGGACAACATGGAGAGGGTCCAGAGGAGGGCCACTCATATGATAAGGGGGCAGCAGGGCAGGCCTTATGAGGAGAGGCTACGAGACCTGAACCTGTTCAGCCTCCAGAAGAGAAGGCTGAGGGGGGATCTAGTGGCCTGTTACAAACTAGTCAGGGGGGATCAGCAGGCACTGGGGAAGTCCCTGTTCCCCCAGCACTGCCAGGAGTGACCTGGAATAATGGTCACAAGCTGGCAGAGGGTAGTTTTAGGCTAGATATCAGGAGACGCTACTTCACTGTCAGGGTGGCTAGGATCTGGAACCAACTTCCAAGAGAAGTGGTGCTGGCTTCTACCTTGGGGGGTTTTAAGAGGAGGTTAAATGAACACCTTGCTGGAGTCATTTGACCCCAGTAATCTTTCCTGCCATGGCAGGGGGTCGGACTAGATGATCTACTCAGGTCCCTTCTGACCCTAGAAACTATGAAACTATGAAACTATGAACGGTGGAAAAGCAGATCGGTCTGGTGTCCTCCAGCCAGCTCAGGTGGTGGAACGGGGAGCGCTGTGAAGCTGGGCAAAGACCTCCCCACCCCAAGACAAATTCCAGTGGGCTGGAGGACTTGGCAGGGTGGGAACTGCCATTGCACAGGGCCTGGTCAACAAGGCTAGGGTGTGGGGAGGTAGGGCAGATTTCACATCCTAGACCAGATGGCAGGTTGCATGTGTCATAGGAAGACACATGTGCCAGGCGAGCACAGTGGGGTCCACCCACTCCTGCCTATCATAGTCCAGGAGGTCTCCAATATTGGTGACACCAGCCAGGATCAACCTCTGTCACAACTGGGTTGCCTCTGCTGTCGGCACCTCTAGCTGGGGGTTCCATAGGAGAGGCTCGATAAGCAGGTCGGTACCCTGGGCAACTGTTGTGGGGGATCTAGAGGCAGACACCAGCCTCCAGGATTGGAGGAGGTCCTGCTAGAAATCTGTCATCCCTTGCAGGTCCTGCAGGGAGAAGCCCTGCAGGCTGAGGAGTTGCCAAGCATATTGGTGCCCCCTGAAGTGCTGGAGGAAAAAGGGTCCCAGGTGACCCCATGTCATGTGGCTGCTGACAGTATCTAGAAGTCATTGCAGGGCCTGAAGGCAGAATGCCCAGACCTGGCTGTGCAGGCAAACCAGGCCCTGGCCACCCTCCCACAAGGGGAGGCTCAGGACTGCTGCAACAAATCAATGCTGTCCCAGCCAGAAACACTCCAGTGCCCATCTCTGGAGTCCCTCCAGGACCTCAGGCGGCACAGGCAGGATGTGTAAGTGGTGCCAGAGCATGAACAGGACCAGCTGGTTCAGCACCAGCACTCTTCCACACAGGGAGAGACATCGAAGGAGCCCTGCCCATGCGTGGAGCCACTCCACCACCGTTGCCTCCGGCTTGTGCCAGTTCTCTGGCAGGGAGAGGCCTGTGGGGGATAGGTAGATCCCCAAGTAGAGCAGTGAGGCTATACTGCAGCAGATCACATGGACCATGTGTGGGAGTGACCCCACCTACCACCCGTCACCCACTGCCAGGCCAAAGCTCTTGACCCAATTGACCCAGGCAGAGGAGGCCTCCAAGTACAATGCCTGGCAGGCCTCCTTCTGCACCAGGTTGCCCAAGTCCTGGAGCATGAGGAGTACATCTTCAGCATATGCTGACAGGACCAGCTGCACTGCCAGCTCCCAGAGCATCAACCCCACCACCTGCTTCCACAGGAGAATGAGGAAGGGCTCCAGGGCCAAGGTGTACAGCTGGCCTGATAGTGGGCAGCCTTAATGCACCCCTCTCCTGAATGGGATGGACTCCGTCACGGTCCAGTTGAGCTGGACCAAACATTATGCAGAGGCGTACAGCACCTGGAGAGCCCACATGAAGCAGGGCCCAAAGCCAAAGCCCTGCAGCATGCCTGTGCTCTTGATCCACTCTATCAAATGTCTTCTGCTGGTCCAGGGATAGGAGGGCAAAAAACAGGCTCTCCTGACACGCTAGCTCTAGGAGGTCCTGAATCAGGCACAGGTTGTCGAAGATGGGATGTCCAGGGACCATGCATGTCTGGGCAGAATGGATCATGTCCATCAGCAGGGACCACAGGTGCAGCAAGATGGCCTTCACTACCACCTTGTAGTTCATGCACAGGAGGGACACAGGATGCCAATTTCTTAGGTTGCAGTGATCTCACTTCTTCAGCAGCAGGATCAGCACAGCACTTCCCACTTGAGCTGCTCCCAAACCACTTCCCTCTGCTGGGTGTGCTCCCAAATGTAGCCTCAGCAAAAAAGCTGGATGTGCATCTTCTCCACATCCCACCATCTCTGAGCTGAGGGTAAGCTGCCCGTTGCTCCTGCCAGGCCAGCCAGAACTCCTGGGAAGCCTCCGTGAAGCCCAGATTCTCCAGCAGCTGGGCACTGAATGCCAGTAGGCCAACCAGCGTGGCCTGGGCCCAGACAAGGTGGTGATCACTGAAAGGGGTCAGCCAGATGCCAGAGGAGTGGGCCTGGGCAAAGTGAGGCAGGGATATAAACCCGGTCTAACTGGGAATGGCATACCTGCTCCTTCGCCACTCTCACATAGATGAAGGCAGGGGGTTCAGTGGGGTGACAGGCACACCAGACCTCCACCTTCAGGATCTCCCGAAGGTTGCCCACAGAGGCCTGGTTCAGCTCCTTGCCTGACCAGTTTCACGCATCTAGGGTGATGTTAAAGGCCCTGCCAAGGACCAGGCACTCATGAGGGTTGAGGGTGCCGATGTATGTGGCCGCCTGGCAGAAGAAATCCACCAACTCCAGGTCCTTCACAGGGGGGTACATGTTCAGAAAGTTAAGAACCAACCCTTGCACCTGGACCCAGAGATGCAGCAGGCATCCTGGCACCACCTGAACATCCTGGAGAACCTCTGGCTGCAGACCTAGGGAAAACAGGGTGGCTACCCCACATGAGGTGGCTGAGAGGTGACTAAAGAAAGACCCTGCCTCCCCACTCCAGCCACCAATTTGGCTCACTGACTGGAGCCCTCAGGGTCTCTTGCAAGAATACCATGGGTTACCCTCCCTCCTGAAGGAAGGAGAGCACCTGGCACCTCCAGAGATCCTTCCTGCAGCCATGGACATTGAGGGTCACAATCTTAAATGACCTCATGGGTGTGGGGGTGGAATAGATGGTTCAGCAGGGGCCTCGCACATCTCAATGCCTGTTGTGGGGCCTGCTGGTTTGTGTAGCACTATCCCATAAGTATAGAGGCCATATATGAAACTGCAGGCCCACCTATAGATTTGGATATTGCAGCTTATGGGCCCCTTGCCTTCCCCAGCCAGCATCCTCGCAGTGGCGAGGATGCTGTCAAAATCTCCGCAGTGGTCCAAGGCTGCCTGTACCTTGCTGGCAGACTGACAGGTGTAGCCATGGTTAAGAAATGCAAGCATCTGATCCCTGGGGATTACTGGGACCAAGAAGCCTTCAGGCTCCATGGAGCCTGGTGGTTCTTGGGTATCCTCCTCCTGATCCTGGAGCTAAGAGGGCTCTTCCAGCATCATCTGAACCCCCTAGTCTGCTAAGTCACCAGACTCTGTTTGGTATGGGAGAGCTCTGCATACCCCTGGGACAGGGGTGGGGGTAAGGATAGGAGTGGGGCTCCTTCACAAAATGGTGGGGTAGAGCTGAAGCAGGGTCTATGCAGGGTTCCCGATGAGATCGGCCCATTGATTAGGGGACCCCACCATGAGCCACTCTGGTGCAGGACTATGGGGCAGGCTGGAGGTGAAGTTTTCCTGGGAAGGGGAGGGAAGAGATCCACCAGGCACTGGGTGTATACCCCCAGTGTATAGAAAATTCTCACCAGGGCCCCCTGATAAGAAATTATGAGGCACCCCGTAGCCTCCAGCCATGCTCCCACTGCCAGCTGGACAGTGACTTGGTGATGGAAAGTGTGCGTGTGGTGGAGGCCAGGGTTTTGTCACCCCAGTCAGAGGGCCATCACTGGGGAGATAATTCTCCCCAGGGTTTGAAGCTGGGGGACCAGGGCCCAATTGGGGATTTAGGGAGGGATAGAGCTGAAGACTACCCTGGTCCCCAGATCTTCTAGAGACTCAATGAGGATGTACTCGCCCTCCACCACAATCCCCCTCTTCACCACCTCTTCTGCAGTGGCATTTGAGGCAAGGAAAAAGACCCCATTGCCATGAAAGTGGGAGGCAGCCATGATCCTGGGGGCCCCCACTACCCAAGCCAGGCCCTGCACCCAGGTTTCAAAGTGCCAGTTCTCCCACTTGGGCAGTTGGCACCTCACTCTATGCCTGCGGGTGAGTGCTGTAAAGCGGGTCCTGCTGCCCAAGCCATAAGGGATGGT